TCGAAGCGTTGCTTAACGTTCTCACTACTTGCTCAGTTCGTGGGTAAAATTGACAAAGAGTTTCACTAAGAAAAGGTGGAAGAACAAAAACACAATGGCAAAGAAGTCGATATATCAGGAACAATGCAACATACCTAGCAACCTAGCAACGCGAACGCAGAACGAAAGCGGCGTGCCAACACCGCAGAAAGGCGGCGTGCCAACACTGCAGGAAGGCGACATGCCAACGCTGCAGCAAGCAGCTTGCCAGCGTTGCACCAAGTCGGCCTTCCAGCACTGCAGTCGCAGGTGAACATCTGCGTACATGTGCGTCGCCTACCAAGTAGGTGCAGGTCTGCACATCAGACAGTTGCGTGCACGTCGTGCGCGTGATGCACATTGCGCAGTTGCCAGGTCGTCGAGCACATGATGCTCGTCCGGCAGTTCGACTTTCGCCAAAACCGCCTGGGGCGAAGTTCGCGCACACGCATAACTTCGCCAATCAGTTACTTGGTGGACAAGTAGAAGGCTGCTCAGCCGACGCCGACTTCGGCGCCAGTCGGTCGACATCCGTCGGCGCCCATCGGTTGGCGTCATGTCGACTATAATTTTTGTTGCCCATCGAGGCTCGACGTCGTCTGCCAACTTCTCTTCGCCGGCCAGCGTCTAGTCGGTTTCGCTGAGGGCGGTTTCTTTCTGGTTTCGCCGAAGGCGACAAACCAATCTCGTGGACTTCCTCCTCCAGGTCGGCGTAGACCACCAAGCGTAGCCGGTTGCACACCTTGTGCACCGGACAGCAAAGTTTGCTTCGCCCAAGAAAGGCCAGGACAATTTCTCGTCAACAGTGCCAGTGTCAGCAAGAACAGATGTGACGGGCTCCCATGCTTATGGCGTGTCTCACACACTCGTGTGTTTTCAGTCAACTCAAAGCACACATGCTCGCTACACGTCTCACACACTCGCCCGCATTGTGCAGCCATGGCATTATGAGCTTGTGCCAATTTTGAGAATTCTCTAAGTAGCAATTCATGATCAACTCACCCGCATTGCGCAGCCATGGCTTCAATGAGCCCACGATCGGAAGGCGTCGGGGTGAGTGCGGCCCGTCCTTCCTCCTGGGGAGTGTGAAGAGGCGTGGAAAAATGGGGAGTGTGAAGAGGCGTGGAAAAATGGGGAGTGTGAAGAGGCGTGGAAAAATGGGGAGTGTGAAGAGGCGTGGAAAGATGGGGAGTGTGAAGAGGCGTGGAAAAATGGGGAGTGTGAAGAGGCGTGGAAAAATGGGGAGTGTGAAGAGGCGTGGAAAAATGGGGAGTGTGAAGAGGCGTGGAAAAATGGGGAGTGTGAAGAGGCGTGGAAAAATGGGGAGTGTGAAGAGGCGTGGAAAAATGGGGAGTGTGAAGAGGCGTGGAAAAATGGGGAGTGTGAAGAGGCGTGGAAAAATGGGGAGTGTGAAGAGGCGTGGAAAAATGGGGAGTGTGAAGAGGCGTGGAAAAATGGGGAGTGTGAAGAGGCGTGGAAAAATGGGGAGTGTGAAGAGGCGTGGAAAAATGGGGAGTGTGAAGAGGCGTGGAAAAATGGGGAGTGTGAAGAGGCGTGGAAAAATGGGGAGTGTGAAGAGGCGTGGAAAAATGGGGAGTGTGAAGAGGCGTGGAAAAATGGGGAGTGTGAAGAGGCGTGGAAAAATGGGGAGTGTGAAGAGGCGTGGAAAAATGGGGAGTGTGAAGAGGCGTGGAAAAATGGGGAGTGTGAAGAGGCGTGGAAAAATGGGGAGTGGATGGAAGGGGAGTAGATAGAAGGGACGCCAAGAAGGGTAGACTAATGTGATTTTCCGAATCAACTAGAAATCACCTAGAAAATCACCTCTTGTTCCTATTGTAGGTGAGATTCATATGTTGTTGCATGCATGCATGCATGTGCGTGAGCATGGGTGAATGTATGCATGCATGCATATGTGTACGCATTTGCGTGTGCATGTATGTGTGTACGCTAGTGACTGTGTGTGTGCGTGCACGCGCGCATGCGTGCGTGCCTGGGTGTGCGCGCGCGTGTGTGCGTGCGTGCGTGGGTGTGTGTGTGTGCGTGCGTGCATGCGTGCGTGTGCGTGTGCGTGCGTGTGTGTGTATGTGTGTGTGTGTGTGTCCATGTGTGCTAGTGATGTGAGCTTGCATCCACACTTGTCTGTGGGGAGGGTGGGGGAGAGGAGGGGGCATGGGGGCAGGGAGGTGCATGTGTGTATTTGTGTGTACATGCACACGTGTGTGGGTATGTGCACAAGTGTTCGATCATGCGCTGTACTACAGCGCTTACGTAAGGTGTTGGTAAAAGGAGGCCCGTTGTGCTCCCATACGCTGAGATGAACTCTGGAAGAAGAGGAAGAGGAAGAGGAAGAGGAAGTGGAAGAGGCAAACAAAGAGAAGGAAGGGGAAGGGCAATGGGAGGAGGGGGAGGAAGAGGGCATAAAGGCAGCAGCCTTAGCCTGCTAGCTGTGTTGGCAGAGGGGGCGATGGTGACATCAGAGAGCAGCAGGGATGTGCATGGCACAGAGCGGCTGCAGTTGAGTTTTAAGAATTCTTGTTGTTGCAGGTACTCAAAACTAACCTGCAGCAGCTAGCCTGCTAGCTCTGTTGACATTGGGGGAGATAGCGATATTAGAGAGCAAGAGGGATGTGCATGGGATGGATCGGCTACAGTTGAAGAGAATGGCGTGTGTGCCATTGGCCCTTCCTGTCACGTTTATGAAGCTGATGTTTGTAACGGCTACTGCCTCTTCCCTCTCCTGGCATTTACTTGGAGAGGCGTCACAATAAAACTGTGAGGGGGTTGGGGGTATGGGGGTGAGGAGAGGAAAAAGCGTGGTTGGGGAAAAAGGAAAGGGGGCTACAGGAAGAAGCCCGACATTTCCATCAGTTGATGCCAAATTCATCAGTTGATGCCAGTTTCATCAGTTGATACAAGTTTCATCAACTCATGCCAATTTCATTAGATCATGTCAATTCTATCGAATGACGTTAGTTCAATCAGATGTTGGCTATACCATCAGCTGATGCCAGTTTGATAAACTGATGCTGATTGATCTAGCAACTGGTGAAAATTCACATGAGCTGATGGAACTGGCATGAGCTGATGGAACTAGCATGAGCTGATGAAAATGGCATGAGCTGGTCTAACTGGCATGAGCTAATGAAACTGGCATGAGCTGATGAAATTGGCATGAGCTGATCTAACTGGCATGAGCTGATCTAACTGGCATGAGCTGATGAAAGGCATGAGCTGATGAAACTGGCATGAGCTGATGAAACTGGCATGAGCAGATGAAACTGGCATGAGCTGATGGAACTGGCATGAGCTGATGAAAATGGCATGAGCTGATCTAAATGGCATGAGCTAATGAAACCGGCATCAGCTGATGAAATTGGCATGAGCTGATGGAACTGGCATGAGCTGATGAAACTGGCATGAGCCGATCTAACTGGCATGAGCTGATGAAACTGGCATGAGCTGATGAAACTGGCATGATCTGATGAAACTGGCATGAGCTGATCTAGCTGGCATGAGCTGATGAAAGGCATGAGCTGATGAAACTGGCATGAGCTGATGAAACTGGCATGAACAGATGAAACTGGCATGAGCTGATGGAACTGGCATGAGCTGATGAAAATGGCATGAGCTGATCTAACTGGCATGAGCTAATGAAACTGGCATCAGCTGATGAAATTGGCATGAGCTGATGGAACTGGCATGAGCTGATGAAACTGGCATGAGCCGATCTAACTGGCATGAGCTGATGAAATTGGCATGAGCTGATGAAACTGGCATGAGCCAATGAAACTGGCATGAGCTGAGGAATCTGATACCACTTTACACGCATGGGGAGAGGAACGAGCACCACATTGCACTGCACTGAACCACGGTGCACTACAACCAGGATCAAGTGGGGGCACCCACACAACACTTACCTGATTGATAATAATCGGCCATGTGACATCAGTCACTCGAATGTCTTTGTAAGTCACGTTCGATACAAGACCCTTGCCGCCCTGATACGTCTTGATTCGTAGGGCATTGTTTGACCCCGTGAATCTCACGTTCCTTACAAGCACGTCTGACACACACGCTGTTGCTTTGTCCCTGCCCAGGCTGCCAATGCTGGGAAAGCGAGGGCAGGTTGGGAAGAGGAAACGATGAGAAGTGGACAGAGGAAGTAGGAGCAAAGTACCCTTTCCGCGCTAACACGCGCGTTACAACGGTCAAAAATACTGTTGAACGTTGTGAGGCCACGTCTGACACACACAAAATCGCCTGGAGCTTGCTAAGCTTCGTATGACCGTTGATTTCATCACCTCACTCCATGACTGTTGATGCCCTCATCTTTCTCCGTGACCGTTGATTTCCCACCTCACTCTATGACCGTTGATGCCCTCACCTCATTCCATGACCGTTGATTGACTCACCTCACTCCGTGACCATTGATGTAGACGAGATTCTCAACCAGCAAATTATGGCAGCCAGCACCGATTGCCACACTGTCATCTCCTGATTGGACCGGGAAAAGGCAACAGATTGGGGGGGAGGGGGGGGGGGGGAAGATATTTGGGGAAAGGATGAGGAATGGGGAGGAGAAGGAAGAGGTTTAAGGAAAACAGGACAAGGTTGGGGAGAGCTGGCTGGCAGCAGTAAATCACAGTGGATGAGATACAGACACTATTTATGCTACTTAGTTATAAATATCTTCAATATGTTTTGTAGTAACACATAGATATCTTCAACATTATATAATTTGTTGCGTCAATCTTGTTGTCAGTAACACATATATATAATTTGTTAGAAGAAGAAAGAAAGAAAGAAAGAAAAGGAAAGAAAAAGAAAAGGAAAAAGAAGAAGAAAAAAAACTCACCAGCCTGCAGAAGACTGTTGTGCAATGCCATGACAACCTAGGAGAGATAATTGTTGTCCATGTTCGGGCTGTTTATCCCCTCTATATGCAGGATGTGACTTCTCATGTGTCCTCGTTATAAACAGACTCACTCACCACTCTCCAGATAGCTGTTTCGTACGATGGCATTCTCGACCTTGGATAGCTGAATGCCGTCCGTGTTGGGGCTGTTGAATGGGCTGAGAATGGTTATCCCCTCTATAAGCAGTTCGTCACTGTTTTGCACCTTGAGGTGTGCACCTCCTGGGTTGCTGTAGACAAAAACGGGACAAGAAAGTTCAAATACAGGGAGGACAAAACAGGAAGCAAGAAGGGAGAGATGCTGCTGAGGGGGGAGGGCTACAGGTGAGTTGCTGCGTACAGAACCTTGAAAGATCATAGAGGCATCAAGGCAAGCCAGCAAAACACACCCGCAGGTGGTTTTGAGTCGACTGAAAATATTACTTTTAGTTGGCTCAAAAAACACTTCCGGAGATGCTGCCCAGGTGCCCAGGCTCAAATTTAACTAAAAATCACCTTTTAGTTAGAGCTACAGGTGAGCGTCTGGAACCTCAATAGAGATGTCAAGGCTAGCCAGCACAACACACCCGCAGGGTGACATGAGCAAATAACCGAACCGCGGTTCGGTTCGGTGAGGATCGATTCGGATCGGTTCGGATCGGATCGGTTCAGTTTGGTTCGTTCAGATCGATTCGGATCGAAGCAACCAACTCACACCAGCCTCACGCCCTGCAGTGCAGCGATTTCGCAGCGGGTGAGAAACAGCAGTGCCTCGCTTGCTCCCCTTGAAAATGCCCAGAGGAGAGCAACCAGCAGAAGCAAACCAGCTCGCTTGCTCCCCTTGCCCCGCGCCCAGAGCCCCTCAAGAGACATGACGGGCAAGCAAGCACCCCCAACTGTAACTCACGTCAGCCTCACGCCCTGCACTGTAGCGTTATCGCAGCGGGAGAGAAACAGCAGCACCGGCCGCTTGCTCCCCTTACCCTGCGCCCAGAACCCCGCCCCCTGCCCGTCCATCCACCCGCCTCCTGTAATCGCGAGGTTGGGAACCTCTCTAAAAAGCAACAGCCCCCACGCATCGCTCTTTTGTGGCTTGGGGTAGGAGGTCACATTGGCTGGCCCGGCAATGCCGCCGTTGATCTGATGTGGGAGGGAGAGGCGCAGAGAGGAACAAAGGAGGGTGTAACGCACAGGCTGGGCACCTCTCTGAAACGTAAGAGCCCTCGCACCTTGCTCCTGCGAGGCTTGGGGTAGGAGGTCGCGTTGGCTGGCTCAGCAATGCCGCCAAGTCTAGTTTTGAGGCGCCTCAAAACTAGGTCATGTTGGCTGGCCCAGCAATGCCGCCGTTGATCTGATGTGGGAGGAGACGGCAGCGGGAGATGGCGAGAAGGGAAGAAAGGGGCGGAGTGGGCAGCGGTGATGCGCGGTTGTGAGGGATGAGCATTGTACAGATAAATGCCCCCCATGTGTTGCTCTTGCGCTGCTTAAAATTACGACGACACGTTGGCTGGCTTTTGAGTCAACTCAGAAGGGACGGAGTGGGCAGCGGTGATGCGCGGTTGTGAGGGATGATCATATGTTGCCCTTGCGCTGCTTGGGGTACGACGACTTGTTGGCTGGCTTTTGAGACGTCTCAAAAGTCAATGTACAGGCCCCATATGTTGCTCGTGCACCGCTTGGATTGCGACGACACGTTGGCTGGCCTGGCAATGCCACTGTTGATTGGTCGGGCGATTGAGCCGAGGAACAAGGGGAGACAGAGAGGGAAGGGAAGATAGGGGCGGAAGGGCCGTGGGGATGGGTTGCTGCACTGCTTGCTTGGGGTTAGAAGTCACGTTGGCTGGCCGGGTGATGCCTCCGTTGACCTGTTGACTTTTGAGTCGACTCAGAAGAGTTGACTTTTGAGTTGACTCAAAAGTCAACTCGGAAAGGCAGTGGGGATGGGTTGTTGCACTGCTTGCTTGGGGTTAGAAGTCACGTTGGCTGGCCGGGTGATGCCTCTGTTGACCTGTTGACTTTTGAGTTGACTCAGAAGAGTTGACTTTTGAGTTGACTCAAAAGTCAACTCGGAAACGCAGTGGGGATGGGTTGTTGCACTGCTTGCTTGGGGTACAACGTCACGTTGGCTGGCCGGGTCATGCGGGCGATGCCTCCGTTGACATGTTGTGTGATGTGAGCGAGCAGAGGAACAAGGGGGGGGGTGCAGGACATTGGCGCACAACACGGCCCCTCCAGGTCGATGGGAAAGGTCCATACTTAGCCCCCAATTTTCCCCAATACTCCCCATATTTTACCCCTTACCACAAATGCCCCCAATTTTCTTCCGATACATATTTTTTACACCACTCCCCTCCTCCATCTGTCTCCCAATTTTTCCCAAAATTGACCCCAATTTTCCTCCAAATTCACCTGACTTTTCTTCGCACTTCCAGCCCCGCGCCGCACGGCCCCTCCAGGTCAATGGGGAAGATCTGGAACAGCCCGCTACATAATGCCATCCTATCCCACCACGCACACCTCTACACCCCTTAGCACCCACCTGCACCTCCAAGCCAGCGCCGCACGGCCCCTTAAGCTCGACGGGGAAGGTTTGGAACAGCCCGCCCGCGGGGACCACCACGCGCGCGTACGCGCTCCGCGCCTCCCCCCACGCGCACGCGGTCTGCAGTGAGCGTCGAAACGCGTCCGTGTTGTCCGTGCTCCCGTCCGCGCGCGCCTCGAACTGTAGCAGGTGAAAGACTCCCTGTTCGTTGATTGGGCACGGCGAAGGCGGCGCAGGCTCAGGCGCGCGCGGCGGAGGCTTGACTGGAGGAAGCAGCGCAATCGGGGGGGGCGAGAGTTGCGGGACTGGTGAGGGCAGAGGGGGAAGCGCGGGGGGAGAGGCCGTAACCTGGCGAGGACCCCGAGGCTGCATGATTTGCGAATTTGCGACGGAAGGAGCGCGGCGATCACAGGAATCTTTCGTGCCGTCGGGTGAAGATGGAGCGACACGAGGAACGGCTAGCCGGCTGGATAGACTGAGTCGTTGATTTGCGTTGTCAGGAAGCCGTGTGACGTGATTCTTGTGAGTGGGATCCGCGGAAATGGAGATTGCGGACAAGAGAAGAATCGCAAGTGGCATAACCATCCTTAGATGTCGGAAATGGAACGTAATTGGTAAAGGAGCCGATTTTCGCGGCGAAATGACAGCTTTCGGGAATGGCGTACACTGCGAGACTTTGGATCATCAGTCTAAGAGATCATCAGTTCGGATCGAATATCGATTTAATTCGTTGTTCTCTTCGCAACGCGCTCCTCGTTTTAGCTCTCGTTTTGACCTTCGTCTGCATAATTGAAGCTAGTTACGAAAATAGCGCTTCTGAACTGTACATCACGTCGAAGCGCGTGCGCCTTAGGTCTGATAGAAGAAGCTGCATTGAGAATTTTGCTCAATTCCGCGGAAGCGCTGTTCATTTTATTTTCGCCACATGGCAAGCCTTCGATCGCGGGAACCGCGATCTTTTTTATTGTTCCTACAAATTTCAAGACAAACTTAGTTAAGTTCTGTACGGCGCTGCCCACGAGCAAAAATAGCATGGTTGGTTGAAACACGACGTGTCGCTGCTGCGAGGACCTGCCATGGACTGGTGGCGTATCACCTTTACGAAGCCGAATGACTACGCGACTCTACTGACACGGGAAGGACAAACCGGACCCTGGGCACCGTCGTATTTCGTGGAGGTGCCCCAATATCGCGCGTGGGACGCGTGGTGCGCAGGTCTGCGCGCTCGATTTGAGCCAATTGCGGCTTCGATCGCGGCGCGTCAGAAGCTCCGCACTTGGCGCCAACTCGGTTCCGTCCAGGACTACACTAGCGAGTTTCTGGCGCAGTGCGAGCAAGTTCAAATGCCGCGAATGCCGCTGCCGCACCGTTCAAAGGGCACTACTTCACGTACAATCGACCGGGACACTGTAAAAGCGAATTCCCGGAACACGCTAAAGGAAGGGGGGAACCAAAGCAACAGGGAAACACTGCGAGTCAGTAGCAGACGGGACCTCTACTAACAGGTCACGCCGCTCGCCCGACCCAACCGGCCGTCACCGAGTGATCGTGCCGGTTCACGCAATCGACCACACTCGGCCGAATAAGGAGGGTAATATGGTAGACAGCCCCATACTGCTTAGTGGGAAAATCGGGACAGACTTGTTGACGGGGGAGCCAGCCACAGCCTGATCAACACTGCCACAGAACGGAAACAGAGACTGCCACCGGACAGATGTTTGCCTGAGATCGACGCACGTCTGGTTGACGGCACGCCACTGGTGATACGGGAACGCGTAGACCGGGTTCAGTTTTGTTGCGGGGGTAACTTTACGTTTAGTCAGGAAATGCTCGCGACAATCCTCGACGGAAACGACATTTTGCTCGGCCGTGATTGGCGCCGACGACACAACCTGCGAATAGACTGGACGACGGGTGAATGCACTGTGTGAGTGAATGGTAGCAACACCGCCTTACCTCGCTGGGACTCACCTGGGTCTTCGTTAGTGCGTGTCAACGCGATCACGATGAAACGCACCGTAGCGGCAGGAGCTGACGTATACGCGGTTGACGTTCGGGAAGCCGAGGCAGCAGACAAAGCGGGGGGTTTACATAAACTGCTAGCCGACGTACCGGATGATTTGGCGGCACTCCTGAAGCGGTACAGAGGGATATTTCCAGATGACCTGCCAACGGGACTGCCACCTTAGCGACCGCACGACCACAGGATAGAGTTAGAACCGGGGGCACAGCCTACAGTACAGCGACAGTTCCGGCTGACCCAGACCGAAGTGGATGAACTAAGGAAGCCGCTAGATTACCTGCTCGAGAAGGATTTTATTCACCCGAGTTTGTCACCCTTCGCAGCACCAATGCTGTTCACACCGAAAAAGGACTGGGGTTTCCGCATGTGCATCGACTACCGCGCAAGGAACAGGGTTACCATCAAATCCCGTTACCCCATCCCGCGAGCCGACGAACTGATCAACCAACTGCGAACAGCCCGGGTTTTCTCGAAAATCGACCTTCGAGGTGGCTACCACCATATCCGAGTCAACTCACCCGACTGCCTGAAAACAACCTTCCGAACACACTACAAATCCTTCGAATACACCGTCATGCCCTTCGGACTGACCAACACCCCCGCTATCAAACATTATATATGTTGTGCTTGTTTAGGCTACAGTGGGTTAGCCTATAGGGGGTACACAATTCTAGGGTTAGGTACTTGTACTGTTTTCACTGTTAGTTCAATCATTCCTGTTCGTTCATTTCAACATGGTTTCAGAGCAGGTCCTTCGCAAGGACCGTTTTTTTTTAGGGCCCACCACTACCTACCTACCTACCTGCGCCCTAGGGCGCCTCGTTTTTCACGGCCCCCTAAGGCCCCGCGACCCGCGACCCGCCCCTTAGCGACCTGCGCGCCGCCCCTTAAGGCCCCGTCAACCCACGCACTCGCCCCTTACGGCCCCGCGCTCGCCCCTTAGCGACCCCGTCGGCCCCGCAATCGCCCCTAACGGCCCCGTCGGCCCCGCGCTCACCTCCCTAGAGGCCCCCGTTGGCCCCGCACTCGCCCCTAGAGGCCCCTTACGGCCCCGCGCTCGCCCCTACAGGCCCCGAACGGCCCCGCGCTTGCCCTTAGCGGCCCCTTACAGCCCCGCGCTCACCCCTAGAGGCCCTGAACGGCCCCGCGCTCACCCCTAGAGGCCCCGAACGGCCCGTGACTGCCACAGCCCCTCCAGGACCGAGCCGAGCCACGCGACCTGAACCGAGCCGCCCAGTCCGAGCCGAGCCACGCGACCCGAACCGAACCGCGCCGCCCTACCCGAGCCGCGCCGCCCTACCTGAACCGAACCGCGCCGCGCGTAGTGACCGAGCCGCCCTACCTGTCTCATCCTCCTACTCCTACTGCTGCTCCTACTACTCCTATGGCTAGCCCACCTGTGCTAGTTTTCGATGCTGAGGGCCGCCCAGTGAAGTTTGACACCTGGCTAGATGACCTGCACCCCTATCTACAGCTCACTGCCAAGGACGACATCTCACTGTACGACCACGCCCTAGGCCATGTCAGTGCCCCTGCTGCTACTGCTGACAGCACTGCCCGCTCACAGTGGCAGACTCGTGACGCCCACGCTCGCTTTGCTATTCGCAACTCCCTGCCGATAGATGAGCGCGAGCACTTTGGTCAGCACAAGACTGCACAGGCACTGTACACTGCTGTCGTTGCCCGCTACTCCTCACCGGCCTCTGCTGCACTAGGCCGTCTCTCTCTTCCCTACCTGTTCCCCGACTTGGCCTCTTTCCACACAATCGCTGACCTCATTACGCACCTCCGCACTAGTGAGGCTCACTTCCGCGCCGCTATGCCTGATGAGTTCCTTGCCAAGTGTCAGAACTTATAGCTTATGCTTTTGTGTAGGCTATAGTGGGGTATCCCATAGGGGGTACAACCCAATTAGGGTTGGTACTTGTACTCACACATTTCATAGTTCATTCATTCGTGTTCCTTCTTTTCACATGGAATCAGAGCAGGTTCCCTCCTAGGGACTGCTTCTAGGGCCCACCAAAGCGCGCCCCGAGGCGCGCGATTTTTTTAGCGACCCTCCGTGTCGCCCTTCCCCTCGCGGCCCCCGCCGCCCTTCTCGCGGCCTCGCCGCCCTTCAGTCGCGGCCTCGCCGCCTCCTTGCTAGCGGCCCCGCCGCCCTTTCTCGCGGCCCCGCCACCCCTTCGAGCGGCCCCGCCACTCCGTCGCGGCCCCGCTACCCAGTCGCGGCCCCGCCACTCCGTCGCGGCCCCGCCGCCCCGTCGCGGCCCCGCCACCCAGTCGCGGCCCCGCCACTCCGTCGCGGCCCCGCCGCCCCGTCGCGGCCCCGCCACCCAGTCGCGGCCCCGCCACTCCGTCGCGGCCCCGCCGCCCCAACGCGGCCCCGCCACCCAGTCGCGGCCCCGCTACCCCTTCGAGCGGCCCCGCCACCCCGTCGCGGCCCCGCCACCCCTTCAAGCGGCCCCGCCACTCCGTCGCGGCCCACCCGCCGCCCTACCTGCGGCCCGCAAGCCGCCCTACCTGCGGCCCTTCGCCGCCCTACCTGCGGCCCACCAGCCACCCTACCTGCGGCCCTACCGCCGCCCTACCTGCGGCCCACCGCCGCCCTACTTGCGGCCACCCGCCGCCCTACCTTCGCGGCCCACCCGCCGCCCTACCTTCGCGGCCCACCCGCCGCCCGTCCTGCGGCCCGCGAGCCGCCCTACCTGCGGCTCTACGCCGCCCTACCTGCGGCCCGCCCGCCGCCCTACCTGCGGCCCACCAGCCGCCCTACCTGCGGCCGTCCCGCCGCCCTACCTGCGGCCCACCCGCCGCCCTACCTGCGGCCCACCCGCCGCCCTACCTTCGCGGCCCAGCCGCCCTACCTACGCGGCCCCAGCAGCAGCCGAGCCGCCCCGCAGCAGCCGAGCCGCCCAGCATCACCCGAGCCGCCCAGCAGCAGCCGAGCCGCCCAGCAGCAGCCGAGCCGCCCGAGAGCAGCCGAGCCGCCCAGGAGCAGCCGAGCCGCCCCGCAGCAGCCGAGCCGTCCTGCAGCCGTCGAGTCGCCCTGCTACCGGGCCGCCCTGCCCTGTCTGGTGAGCACAGCATTGCCCTACTGCTACTGCGTGCCCTTCCCCACTGCTTGCACTGCTAGTCTGTCGTCATGGCTACCCCCAGTGTCCTCGCTTTTGACGCTGAGGGCAGAGCCATTGACTTTGAGGTCTGGGTCGACGACCTGCAGTTGTTTTTACAGTGCGATAGGGCGGACGGTCTTTCTCTCTTTGACCTCACCTCTGGCGCCTCTCCTGCTCCTGCTGCTGATGCTGACCTCACTGTTCGCTCTCAGTGGGCCACCCGCGATGCTGCTGCA